GAAACATTCTAAAGCTAACATACCTTTTCATGATTTTAGGCCTCTAGAGGCCATGCCAAAACCCCATTGTAGTGCCTGTGCACTATACTCTGGCCCACGCCCTCGGCAAGGGTCGGGCATCAGTTCTATTATTCTGGGTTTTCTTTCCGGACAATAATAGGAACTCGATCGTATATTTAGTCGTTAATTGTGTTTATTAGTAGTTTAGAGCGAGAATTTGGTATCTGGATATAGTGTGTGCACCTATTCAGTACAGCTTAGGAAACTCACGTAGTAACAGTGTAGGCCAGCTGTTCACTACACTGGCAGGCCCGCGAAGGCCCGGTGTATTGCACGGAGGCTACAATGGAACCCAAGTGGAGCTTTCAGAGACCGCGCTAGGGGTGAAAGAACCAATACAATCTAACAGTTTCTAGTCTTGAGTGCTCGGCGGCCTCGCCAGGCTTGGGGCTGGCTATGAGACTGACGGTGTGGCTGTCTGACTCAAGGCGGAGTCAGACAGCGCCAGCAAACATCATCAGAAGATTTCCTTTTCAAGGTTAAACGAACTCGAATGTGTTTCGGAAATTAATATTTGATTATTGGAAATTTTTGAGGAATGCATTTAGGGAATAGGTACTTGTGTAGCGTGTGCAACTAGGGCGCACCTAGGTGGTGTAGGTAGTAACAGCGGAGTCTAGCCGTTCACTACATCCGGCCCTAGGAGGTAGGGCGGGCGGCAGAACCTCCCATGGGGCCACACGCTTAATAAGTGGAACAGGATTTTAGATATGAAATCCGTGATTGGGTGTTTTTAGCGCCCTTTAGGGGGTATTTGCATCGTGCGGCGTTAGATATTTAGTATGCACCTAATGGAGTAGGAGGCTGGCTGAGGTGTGAATACTTGCCGTTATGCAGCTGAAAAGTGTTTTCGAGATCAAAATGCTTTACATTCAACTCGCAGCGCATCAGCTTCTACCCTCTGATCACCACAGGGTTCGGCTAGCTCTAGGCACACATAAGTTCTACTGCAGCTCAATTCATTCAAACAAGTGCAAGCAGACGCCACTTCTTTTTTCTGGTTGGAGCTGGCTTAGAACTCAGTGCCATAGTTGCCGTTCACCCATTCTCAGGTTAGCTTATCAGCTTGGCGATCCTCTCAGGGAAGTATAACGCCAGCCCAAGCTAAACATTGAAGAGCAAACGGTATTGTAGGCGAACTACCTAGTTCCAAGGGAAATTCCGTTGTGGATGACGAGTGTATTCATGTCGATGGATATGAGCTCACGTGACTTTGTGCCCGGTTGGGAGGCTTCGTATGACGCTAACAGCGCTTCAAGCCCAAAATGGCTTGGACGCCGAAGGGGTAAATGCGTGAACACATTGTGCATGCTACGCACAGGTCTAGTTGTTTAGAGTTTGATGTGGAACAGCCCCAAGCAGTCATATTCACACAACCCCAGAAGGAACACGCTGGAATGTGGCACCTTCATGGTGCTGCATTTCAAACAACATGCAGAAGAACACAATAGCGTTGGCAACCTCATAGACGTCGCAACCGGATGCAGCCAATTCATGCTTTACCCCATCTACATCAATACCAAACGAATCATGACAGGGAGCTCCCTTTTGATAAACGAACAATGACAAAAATAACAAGGAGAAAGTCGCCGAGGAAGATTTACCGGTATAGGATCTAAAAGAATCAACCGACTATGGTAAGGCCAGTGGTGGCGGAAGAGCGAGGAGTGGGGCATATGAACATAGCCTCTCCCAGGTTGGAACAATAGCACCAGCTTAGCCCTAAGGCCTAATTTCTGGTAATAAAGTCTTTACTTTCGCCAGAAATGGCCGCTTTTGCGTTAAATTAAAATTTTCCTCGCTGAACAGCCCCCCAATGACGCGTGTCCGGCGCAACCGGGTGGCTCTCTCGAACTGGCTAGCTCCCATGGCTTCTTTGTGACCCACCCAGGGTCCCCAAGCATAAACTGAATTCCACACAGTAAAATTCAGCAGGGCTTCACCCGGAAAACGGGAAAAGAATTCACGTCTCCTCCCTGCAGCGCGGAGGCAACTGGCGACAAGCATACCAGTCCCTCCACTGAACCCGTAGGGGTAGCCTTCACCAGAACACCAGCCAATATACAGCACTATTCCTATACTTATTACCACAATTATTATTTGAATACGTTTTATCAGCTTGTTGCGGCGTTCCACGGAAGTTCATTTGCGCCAGTTTTGTGCTTGGCACTTCATCGGGAGCAGTCCGAGTAGGGAAGCTGAATCAGTCTTTCATTGCTTGCCTGACTTGATTCGGAGTAAAAACACACAGCAATTATTTTTTCATTTACTCCTTACGAACTGCAGAAATTTGTTTGACGATACCGGCATAATGACATTATCCTCCTTTTCTTTCATAGAATTCTGCATATCGGCTGCATACCACGTAGGATCATCGGGACTCTGATAAGAAGCATATCATGAAAATGAAGGGAAGGCTAGGCATAGCCAGATTTCTTCCACACTTTCTTTACTTTACTCCTCACACAGACCTTCTAAGGCGACGCCCACTGATTTTTTTCCCGCGGAATGTCGAATAGTTCCGCTCCAACATGGCGCAGATGTACCATCAAGCAGATGCGGACCTGCAAAAATCATCAGCGATTTTATATTCCCAGAACCCAACCACTATCTTGCCACCTCACTTACGCCAGCTTACAGTTAGGCGTGGACGCAAGGTGCTTCAGCGAGGACCACATCGCGGAAAGTTTCTGGTTCGGGCTGTGGTGTGCATTGTTTCACTGGTGACGCTTGTGGCTTTGTTGGCTGTGTGCCGGAGTATCCAACGGAGGTTGAATCCTGGTGCGGCAACACCCCGCAACCTTGCGGGTGCGGAGGAGGATCAGGGGCGATCCGGCATTTTGGAGCAGTGCCTGGATTTGGAGGCGGACCATGGCATTTGGGGAGCTGGTTTCGAGGAAGGTGGGGACGCGACAGAAGCAAAGGCTAGGCTGGCAGACTTCCTGCAAAAATCTGCGGATGCTTTTGAACAGGTGCAGATTTTCGTTTCACAGGGGTTCAAAGGTGACAGTCATTCCCCCGCCTTTCGGCTAGATGAGTCATGGCAGCCCACCTCGCACCCAAGTGTGTTTGCTGGCGGATTTGGATCAGACAGTAGTGGTGTGGCGGCGGGCAGTGGGCTCGACGCTTTAAGTGCAGCTGCCTGGCTGACGAATGGTCTTGGGTCAGTTTTGGGGGAAGGCGGGCAGCAAGAGCACGCCGCAGGAGCGAGCGGAATGCGAGGACATCAATGGGAAGTATCAGCATCTGTAGGAAGTTTGTCGGCGTTTGATGAAGGAGAGGTAGCTGCAGGGCCGGGTGCCTTTTTGTCAGTTGGCAGCACAGCCAGCAGTGAATACGCGCAGAATCCTCTGGGTTGGGTCAACCCCATTTCAGAAAAGAGGTATCCAGAGGCCGGTCAGCGCAGGGTAGGGGAGACTGTATTGCAAATGCAAACGGCAGATGCCGATGCAACTGGACTCGCTATACCTAATGTGGGTTCTTCTGGAAATGACAGGTTTGCAGGTATAGTCGGTCAGAGCGACTCCCATGCAGGCTTGAGCCATTACAGTTCACTGCAGGTATTGCAAATGGGAACAGTTCAACAACCTGAGCACCAGGGACAAGCCTCTGACGGTACTTTGGATGCGTTGGGGGAATCCGAGGCTAGTAGAGGTGAACGCGGAACCAGCAGCGAAGACGGGGAAATGTGTGAGGTTAGGGACATTGATCAGCATCCTTTTGTACGGCTGCCAGTGGTAGATCGGAGGAATATTTGCACAAGGTTCTGCGTGCAGCGTGCACTATTTATCGATCTAAATGTTCTCGGTCCAATGGACTCATACATGACATTGCGCAGCTTATTTGCTAAGGCTTCGCTGACGGCTGAAGATGTGGACGCACTCATGAACAGTGCCGAAAGGTTGGTAAACTATGCAGTGTTCAAGCTGAAACAGCAATGTGAGCGAACTACATCTAGCTATGTTGCCAAGAAACTAGCATCTCTGTTTATGGTATTTGACGCCTTGGTGAGCGTAACTGAGCTCCTGGGGGAGAGTATGAATATTAGGCTGTGGTGGCGTAAGTTTGTGGACATGTTCCCGACGGACCATTTCCGTGCACCAGGAGCGAGATTGAGAAAAACAAGAGCGCTGAACATGCTGATCAATCGACTGAGCAGTGCATTGTCAGCATATAAGTCAGGAAAACGCCCGCCACTCCGCGAGATAATTTCCCTCAAAAAAGAGATATTAACCAGTCTGACTAAAGATTGCCAGTTTACGAACCCGCTATGGAGTTTATGGTTGAAGGATGATGAAGACTTCACATGTTCTAGCAGTAATTCAAAAAGTCCTTCCGACGCAAAAAGCCACGGCCAGTGAGAACCAAAAGCACCAAAAGCAGCATGACGCTTTCATCATTGCCTCTTTTGATTCAGGATTTGCATTTGTGCACGCAAGCCTCTCTGATTGCCGAGCATTTTGTCAGTTAGAGGTAAGCAAAGGTAGCCAAACTTGTGCATGCATGCTTTTATGCGTGCTTATCTGGCTTACCGGCAACTACTATGATGTTCCCAACAACTAGCGCTGCTCTAAAATGAAGTTTCTTCCTTGAGTTTTTTCCCGGACTCGTGTGTCTTACCAACAAGCTGCCTACGGTTTGTTTCCACTTACGCCTTCAGGCTGGCACCAGGCGGATGTCATTCTGACTTGGTGTGGCACATAATATTCATTTGCCTTCCTACTCTCACGTTGGCACTGTTTCCACGCTACGCACTTCTTGCAGGCAGATACAATTGCTTTGCAAGAAAAGGCAGCAATGGGTGGAAGTCTGCCTAACAGATGGTGTAGCTGCAACTGAGCTCGCTTCCTAATAACAATGCAGTAGCTAATATTCATCATCTATCTATGCATCGAGGGTATTCTAAAGAATCCTATCCTCCAGGGAGAAACGCCGGAATGGGATGGGGGAAATAAGGCTAGTCAGTCGTCTTTCTATGACCTCTGTGGAGCTTCTGCCTAAGAAAAGCTAACATAAGCTCTTCAAGGTAAAGGGGTATCAATCCATCTGTGCGTTTTCAACATTCCCAGTCTGGCCTCCCACACGAATGCTGCTTTGGATATCTGCATATGGT